CTCTGTCTCTGGTGAAGCCTCTCACCGCCCCTGAGCCTCTGGCCTGTACCCCAGTTCTTAATAAATGAATCTTTAAAAAAAAATATATATATATAATATATATATATATTTTTTTCAACAACAGAAAGTGGTGCTAAGTAGAAACAAAATGAAAAATGTTACTTCAGTAGTTCTAAGGTAACAGATTTTTCTCACATATTAATTAACATTTATAAAATCAGGAGCCACAATTTTATAATCCAAGATATGCCACAGTCTTTACTGGTAGTCTTTTTTCTTACTGATACATAAAATACATTCATATGTATATAACACTGTATGTTATAATCAGTAAAATACAGCACATACTTTTGCTACTGATAATCCTTCCTAATACATTCTATGTAAAAGTATACATCTTAAAAATGAAACTACTCATCTTAGCTAAATTCATAATAATAAGGGATATACATATCTATTTTTTCTATAGATGAGTGTTTCCAATTTCACTCAGTTCAAGTTTAAATGGAAGGACTCAAATCAATAAAACATTTTATCCACTGGTTTTACACAATTATAGATAAAAAATATCTGTTCTTACTAAACCACTAATGGTGTGAAATTAATAATTAATACTAAATTCCTATTATTCTGATGACTTGCAATCAAGTCATATTGGTCATTTTAATAAGAAATAAGAAATAACCCCCAATTTTTGATGACTCATCTTATTTTTCCCTCAAAATTTGTTGGTTCATATTATTTTTCCTTCATATATTTGTCACCAAGGTGTCTCTCTATAAACATACATGTGAGATATATGTAGGCACAAACACTTCTGTTTAAAAAAAAAAAATCAAACAGATACACAAATATATACCTATATTTGACAGGAGATCATTAATAAATGTTACCTTCCTTCTGTGTTCAAAAAGACTATTGCAAAAAAAGGCACCATATAGTTTTGGGAACTTAATGTTTATTTATAACATGACATCCTTAATTTCTACTTGACTTAAATTTCCCTTTTCTACCTCCTGTTAGATGTCTCCTGCTTTAACTAAAGAGAAAAGCTACTTCTAGTACCTGATAATTAGTTTTTCTATAATAAACAGAATAATGATGAATATTATATTACAAAAAAAACAGCTTAAGCTTAACAATAAAGGACTATTATTGTTTAAGTTTACAGGGCCACCAGAACATTTTTATATAAAAAAAAAATTCTCCCTATGTCAGTTGGCTATTCTATAACACAAAGAAGTAAATTCTAACCGACAACATGGAAACCTAATTTAAACATCAAAGTTGTAAAATTTAAAATGCTTCAATCAAATTATGTGCTATTCTGTTACATAATCTAAAACAGAATAGAGCCATAAGCAAATTCTGCCGGAAGCCTCAGGATACATTTTTTAAGGATTTAGTTTTGCTCTTACTAAACCATTAGTTATGTCCCCGTGGTTTAATGAAGGATTAGCTTGCCATTTCTGTTTATGATTAACAAATCAAATTCAAGCATTTGGCATCATTTTATACTTAATCTCCTATCCATCCTCTCATTCATTCAATAAAACTCATTGTATTCCATTCACACATCTATTATGTTGCTACTATTACTGAAGAAATATCTATCTGTTCTTCAATTTGAAAGGCAGCACTTAGCATCTGACTGACAAAATCAAAAAATGTCAGAGTAGAAAAAGATGATTTCCTGCCCCATCTTACTTTCTTTCACTCCTGCCATCTCCACTTCCACTCACACTCTTTCGTAAAACCATGGGCAGTCCTGTAAATGCTAAGCATATCTCTAGAGAAATTTACTTGTTCTAAAGACGATTCCAGCTAGCCTGATAAACAGAGGCAGTCTTGCATGAAAGAAGCCATTAATAAGTTAACCTACTGTCCTTCTTAAAAAGTGGGAACTGTTTCTGGTTGTTTATGAACTCTATTTTGGGAGAGAATCCTGAATGGAAAGAGAACCTAAGCAGCTGAAAACGGTGGGCTTGGTTTGCTTCCCTTCCCTGAATAGCTGCATGTTGTTCATGTTTTCAGAAATGATCCCGGTTAACATCATCAAGTAAAATCCAGGTACTATTCTCCAGGCTTTAAATCTTATTATTCCATTTAACCTCAAGATAGCAGTACGGGAGGCGGGTGCTATCACTGGGAGAAGGCCTGGTGCAGGGAGGTTCTGTGCAGGGTCACAGCTGTCAGCGGCAAGCAGGGGCTGAGTGTGCACTGGCTGCAGCAACACCGAGCCCCCGGGGCTCTCGCTCTGCGCAGCCGGGTCCGCCCCCAGAGCTGAGGGACACTAAGGGGGATGACAAGAAAGTGCCCTGAAAAGACACTAGACTCCTTGTATTAAAAAAAATTAATCTGGGCCCTCCCTGGTGAAGCAGCAGGTTAAAGCACAGCACTAAGAAACTAAAGCCACTTCAGCACAAGTTCGATCCCCACCCCGGGGGTGACCCACGTGGAGCAGCAGACCTCTCCTATCCTGCCCGCTGCTCCCTCAGCAGTGGACTTTGTCAGTCTGCCTGTTCTGCTCCCCGCTCTGTCTCTGGCGAAGCCTCTCACTGCCCCTGCACCTCTGGCCTGTACCCCAGTTCTGTATGTATGCATGAATAAAAAAAATTAATCTATAAAAGTGAAATAATTAAAAGGTTAATTTATGAAAGTAAGAGGATTCCAAGAAGACTGGCAAGCAGAGGCAGTACCATTTTCTTCAGCCCTTAGTCTTTCTGGATTATAGGAATATATGCAGGTTAAGTAAATGCCAACTCTCACGACACATTCATTGAGCCCAACTTAATTTTAACCAAGTTAGTGAATTTAAAATCTACATTATTTGTAGTTAAGTCCGTCAAACAACCTTTTCAATATTATCTGACAGCAACCATTTGATATTGACAACATTCCAGTTTCTATAAAAAAAACAAAAATTTTACCAAAGCAGTTTACTGTATTATAAGATGCTGTTAATTAAGCTTGCAGCTAAACTTGACTTTTTAAATGATGACTCTCTGCACAAAAATTGAGAACTTGACAAATTCAAAATTATAAAAAGTAATGGCTTATTGGAAAACAGCATGAAATATTTCTACTGACGGATAAGACACACTTTAGATTGCGTATGAATTTCATTCCCCACTCTGCTTTTCCCTCTAATAATCATTTTTGTCTTTGTCTAGTGAAGATGAGCAAGACAATACTGATTTACTGCAAGAATTTGATAATAACATATAAGTAAGCTGCAATTTAACTTTTCTGCTTGTAACTCATAGCTCCTCTATCAAAAATTCCTTTATATTCTCAAGTTTTACTTCTGGAAACTATTCAATCTCATCATGTGTGTATCTTTCTCATCTGTTTTCTAGAAAACACTGCCTCAAAAATCAGTCAAAACTTGATCAATACTGTAATATTAAAATAAGTTCTTAGCAATTTACTTTTCTTAACAAAAATACAAATATCCTGAAATGTGTCACGATATCTTAATGTAACATAATCACTATTTCCTACCGCATTAACACTTTTCAAAAATCTTTCTCAGTTGTAATTTAATTAATTCTGACTTTCCATTGTGCATATTGTTTTTTCTTCAGCCAGACAGACTCATTTCTGGTATCTTTTTACCTCTCACAAATCACCTCCCTCCCAAATATAAGCTCCCTCTAATCTTTGAAAGTTTCTCTACCAATATCAACTTGTTTTATGCATAACTGTTAACACTCTTCCAAATAATATATTACTTTGCTTTGTCTCTGTACAAGTTGAAACTAAATAAAAAACTTTATATTTATTACTCTTACATAAAAGGATAGAACTATGAAGTTTCCCAAATTAAAACTGGATATAATAATGGAAAAAATAATTCATATTAAAACTTTTAAGCATACAGGCATAAACTTCAATTTTCAAATTTTACTTAGTCTGCAAATAAAATGCAAAATCATAAGATCAATTATTGCTTGAGTTGGGAATAAACTGGGCTTTCAAAACCACATTAATCTAAATATGTCATATGTCAATTTTAAACAAAAGAACACGTTTAAAAGGAAATTCTTCATCTTGTACTTTTTTGTGTGGGGAAGTTGTTTATTAAGCACTTTACCTAAAATTACATAGAAATCTTTAAAAAATGACCAACTAGTCTTGAAAAACCAATTCTCAACTATGTTGGCCACAGGTAACTTTTGCCCCTGCCTGAAAAACAAACATACATATAAGATAAATAATAACTTATTTTGAAAACATATTACATAAAATAGCCAAATAAAAACATCTCGGATCAATGTACCTTCCTAGAACAACTCTTTGTCTATAATGTTCTCTCTCTTGGCGCCTTAATCCTCACCTGGCCTTAATTAAATGAGGAAGAATATAAGGGAGCAAAGTCACTACGAGTTAAGTATTCTTTACTGCTGAGTTAAATGTATTAAAAATGTGTTAAAAAATGCTGTATTTCATGTTTCCAAATTTTATGAGGTGTCCGCCCAGTGAAGAACGAATGAGAGGCAAGGATACAAAGAATTTTACTGTGTGTTCTGTAAAGAAAGTGGATTTTCAAATAGAACAGCAATATAGGTTTGATTTTGCTCGTATTTTTTCCTCCTTTCTGTTTCATATACGAACTGTTTCCCTATTTCAAACTGTTTTGACTGGTATGAATGTACAAAGGACTAGTACACACAGTAACAATTTTTAGTAGGTCTGGGAGTATTACCCAGTTCATTCAAGGAGGAAACAGGCATGACCAATACCTATACCTAGCACTTAAAAACCCAGAGTGGTAGCAAACACATCACACAAGTGAAAAACATTAGACAGGGTGCCGTGCAACAAGAAAGTCAAAGGAATTGAAACTTAGTTCTCAGCCAACTTACCCAATTTTTGTCTTCTCTTTTAACTTAGAACAAGTTTTTGTTTTCTTACTTTCTTTGTCCTTCGGCTTGGATTTCATCCTTCTACCTTTCTTTTCCTCTTTTCCTTCAACGGAAGCACTAGGAAAGTTTTCAGGGCTCATTACCCGTGGGATATTGCGCTCCCCACGCTCCTTGGCCTTTGCTATGGCCTCTGATATTATACGATTAGCCTTTTCTTGCTTGCTTTCTGATTCCACCTTTTTCCTCTGCTTCTTCTCAGACATGATCCTCACCTGGGTATTCTGCGACTTAGTGTATGTCCCAGAACCATCACTCTTCTTGGAAGATGGAGGCTAGAGAAACCAAAACAAGTTTTTACAACATACCAAAGTACATCCAAAGCAATTAACACAAATACCTGAAATAAGCTTAAAGAAGTAAAACACATGGGCAAATTTAAAAGGAAAATATCTGTTCATCTAGAAAATCGTGTAAGTATAAAATTAAAAGCTCAACTATCACTCCTCAAAAGGAAGGTTAAAAAAAAAAAAGGATAATACAGATCCACTGGATATTTTCATAACATTCTTGATTAGCTGACTCAAGTTTTCTCCTATCAATGTAGCTACTTCAAATTTCACCCTGTAAATATTCTGGCCATTTGCGGAAGTCTTTTCTTTCCTCTTCCCTCCAGAACTCTGAAAATTACTAATAAAATTAAAGGAACAATTTTAATTTAGAATGACTACAGTTTACAGTTGTTTATAATTTTTAGAAAGATAAAGCCTCCGCTTTACAAGAAACCAGATCTAGAACCTGAACCTGATAATAATTTTAATGTGCAATCTATGCAGCAACACAGCTAGTTAGTAAACAGACATTCCCACCGTTAAAATTAGAGAAAAGTTTTAGTTTTTCCATGAAAGAGTTAAATACAGATTTCGACCTTTCTATACCATAATTACTCAAGCAATTCTGGGGGGGAAAAAAAACAAGTTTTATACTTTTATGTTAAAATTATTAATATTTGAGCAATATCACAGGAAGCAGATCAACAGCATTTTAAAAGAATATCCCCTTCAAACACGCATTCGTCCACATATACTTAGATCACAGTTTTGTTATGTTCTTACCCGTAAACATGCCTCTCACTACAGCAAAGGAAAAAACCACCAGGAATTTCCAAACACATTTTCATGCTGATTCCAGTGTGCTTCACTGGATATCTTTTCTATACCTGCCTCATCAAAGGTTTCATAGCAGTGCCGCAGCACTGCGAGAGGACCGAAGGTTTAGAATCGCTCACTAAAATGCCACCTTAAGGCCTACAGGCTATAACAAATAACCAAGACTCGAGAAAACAGCAACAAGCTCAAGATGGCGATGCAGTACGACTCCCTCAGCAGCAGCCAGTAATAAGGAAGGTTATTCAATCCCATTAGCCTTTTAGCCCAAAGAACCCCTCCTCCTCCCACTCATTCAGGCTTTCACTTACCCTTCCTCTTGGCCTCTTCACTGAAGACATTTTTGGCGTCAGACAAAGGCTTGCCCTCTGCTTTTTCACCACCCTAGGCAGTGCTCAAGAAAAAAGCATTGAAAGAAGATTCCTAAATGGCCTATTTAGCAAGCTGCAACCATGAGATGCACATCCTCCACAAATACACATTGTGATTTATCAACACATTTCTGCCTTGGCAAGTTTACAGCCACTCTTCATCCTATTTAGATATGAAAAAGGCTGTAAACCCCTCTTCAAAAGCGGAGTTTCCTCAATAGCTGTAAGCAGATAGCCAGATTCCAACAAAGCACAGAAAGAAATGAATGCACAAAGCATCAAAATGCATCAGCATGAATATTAGAGATGTCGTTAAAAATACTGACTCCTTCTGCGGAAGTAGGCCAGCAGATGGTGCTACCAGTTATTATTCCATTAGACTCTGCAATTTAACCCCCGATGGACTGTTCTTTCCTCCCTGAAACACTTTTAACTCCCACTCTGCCATTTCCTACAGTAAAGTTTTTGAAAGTACACAGGAAAGCCTTATTTTTAAAATTCGCCTGCAAGCTTAAACTGTGGCAAAATGGCTTCATGTAGCTATTAAGAAACAAAAGCCAACGCAAATTTTACTGGAGAAAAATATTGTCCTCTGTGACACGCTAAAATATTTAAAATAGAAGAGTAAGCTGAAGATGAGCAAAGGGTTAACCAGCAGGTCATGCAAATGAACACAGAACAAGTGAACTTCTCTTTAAGAAATTAGATAAGGCTTCCTATGATTCGTCTAACAAAAAGCTAACGACGTTATTTTTAAAATAGAGAAATGAAGCTATTTTCATTTAAGTTCCAAAAAGAAGCTACACATTTTGAAGTGAATATGAGTGCTGCCTAAGGAATTAACACTAAAATGCTTTCCTCTTTCTAAGCTTGGACAAGTACATTGATTTCTCCCCTAACATAAAACACTCAAACTTGGTCTAAACCCTTGCTCCCCAACACTCTAACTGAATTTCCGAGTTTTTTCAGATAAAATTTTAGTTTCAGCCCTTGCTAAAAATAAGTGGCAGACCCAAGTGAACTTTATTATCAGTGCAACTTTTCTATAAAATACTGAGATTATTTAGTATGCAATGCTCTTAAACAGCTACAAAATTTTCATTGCTTTGCATTTCAAGTTTCCCTTGTTTCATTAACACTGTTTTTGATTGCTTCTGGCAAGGCATAACACCTCCATCAAGGAAACTGATTTTAGGGTTTTGTTGTAGTTTGCTTTATGGAGGTACCTAAGATCTCATCATGGAGCAACAGTATGAAACAGTCTTAGAAAGACAACGTGGACAGCAGGAGAAATAAAAGCAGGAGGCCACTAAGGAAAGGACAGCAGACGGCAGACCCTAGAGAGAGAATCCCGATGTACGTGACACTTCCCACTGATAGGGCTATGCCTATCAGACAGTACTAAGTGCCAGGCACTGTTCGAAGCATTTAAAGCTAATACATTTTCTTTAATTTTAAAAAAAGATTTATTTCAGAACTGGGGTACAGGCCAGAGGCACAGGGGCGGTGAGAGGCTTCACCAGAGACAGAGTGGGGAGCAGAACAGGCCGACTGATGAACTGCTGAGGGGAGCAGCGGGTGGGTCAGGAGAGGTCTGCTGTGCCATGTGCATAGCTCTGGGGCTGGGAATTGAAGGTGCACTGAGGCGGCTGCTGCTGGCTTGCAGTGTTGTGTCCAAACCCACTGCGCCACCAGGGAGGGCCCAATTTTCTTTCAGTTTTTAAACTTCTAAATTTTCTTACATTGCTGCTCTTGTTTGTACAATATTTGATTTCTCCCTGCAGGTGTACAACGGACGAATGTTAATAATAAACTTACCCCAAATGATAGCATGATAATGTGATAAGGGAAAGGTGTAGCAAATGGGAGAGTCTTGCAGCAGTATTAACAAAATGTGAGAGCAGTCTTGAAAAAATCCTAACAAGAGCTACCACTTACTTATTCCTTACTAGGTCCGTACCAGGTACTAATGCTAGTATTATAGAAATGTTAACTTGATAAACCTTCAAGACAACAATGAGGTATGCACTGCTGTCTCTATTTTAATGCTGAGGCTACTGAGGCAGAGAGAAGGACTTAATCCAGCTGGTCTGAGCGAAAAGGAATTAAAAGGCAGAGACGCATTACATTCATCATTATCTCCGACTTGATACCATGATTTACAGAAGTTAATTTGAAATTGGAAGAAATCAAGGATTTTTCTCTGAGCTGCAGAGATAAATTTAGTTTTTTCCAATGCCCTATCTAAACTGCAAAAATCGGCAAAGAATGTCTGGGAAATGTTTGAAGAGTATTGAGAGTTCATGGCTACTAGATCAAGCAATGGTACATTAGAAAGAAAAAGGAGGAGGAAGTTTAGTTGAGAAAGTGTGTGTATGTGCATAGGGTAAGCCTAGTTCTTTACACTTGAGTTTGACATGTTGAGCTTTAGTAAGAGAAAATTTGACCTCCTCAGAGACAGGAGGTCAGGGCAGGTTCATCTTAATGACCACAACTCAATGACAGACCCACAGAACCTAGGATGTGCTGTAAAATATCTCACTTTCCTTACGAAGATTTTCAAAAAACTCTACTTGATTCAAAATCTCAATTACTTAACAATAAATCTTAGCAGTAGCCAATGAAGGAGTATATATGTGATCAAACATTTCTTCTATTAGGATTTAGTATTTTAAAAGTATATTCCCATAGAACATTAACATGGAGGTGTTAAAGAACTATAAACATTTTAAATGTAGCTTATTTCCCAATTCATACATCAATACAAAAATTCAGAATGGTAGTCTTTGGTCAGAATTATGGCTTTTCTTGTGCCCACCTCCCCAAATAAAGTGTCAACAAATTCTGTTACATCAGCATAACTATATTTTGTTTTGTTTTGTTCCTGTCACTTCCAACAGCCTGGTGACACTAATTCCCCATGAACTGTGACTGGTACCGTGGTCATATAAAATATCCTTCCTTGTTTGTAGGAAACATACATGAAAGTCTGTGGGGTGATGGAAATTCAGGATTGCAATCTACCCTCCCATTGTTTACCAAGCATAGCATTTTCTTTGTGTAGAGAAGAAATATCTTCTCTATAGGATGTTGTAATAAAGATGGATGCCAATAACAAAAGACAAAATGCTACTATACTTAAAATATTATGTTGCATTTATCAGAAAAAAATCGTTATATTTCACTCATTACTTTAAGTTTGCCGTACAAACTGAAACACAAGTCACTTAAATTATAAATAATTTTATAATTATTTATAATTTATTAAAGTTTATAATTTATTTAAAATTTATAATTTATTATATTTTATAATTTATTTAAATAATTATATAATTATTGGCTTAGCTCTCCAAGAATCTCCAACAGAAGGGCCGCTCTGGTGGCACAGGGGTTAAAGTCTCAGCTATTAAGCTTTTGACAGCCAAAGTGGCAACAGTTTGATCACAGGCCAGTGAGCTGACCCACAGGGCGGCAGAGGACTCCTGTCTCCCCACTGCTCCCCTCAGCAGAGGATTTCAGTAGATCCGCCTGTTCTGCTGCTCCCCATTCTGTCTCTGGTGAATCCCCTACCCCCCAGCACCTCTGGCCTATTCCCCAGTTTTTGTATGCATAAATAAATAATAGCAATTTTTTTTTTAAATAAGAAAACACAAAGGAAGGCACATGGGAGCGTTACGCTGGAGCCTGGATGGGACCAGCGGGGTTAGCCATTGTCACCAATGCTGCTGTTGTGATGTGGCCGGCCAGTACCTGACGTCAGGAAGTCCTATGAGAATAAACAAATATCCTGTTTCTCAT